AGAAAGGGGGTAGGGGGTACATATTAGCTCCCCCCAAAATAATAATACTGAAGTATTGCACAAGCAAATAAATGCAAAAGTAAAACAAACAAACAAAAAAACAAACAAAAAAACACCAAAAAAACCAACCAACAAACCAAAACAGCCAGAAAAACATTTTCAGAAAATAAAAAAATAAAAAAAATTGAAAACCAAACAATTCTTTATCACACAGGGGATAAACATGGGCTCTTTCAGGGAGAAGGAAATCATAAAAATAAGAAAAGAAAAAAAAGAAAAAAAGCTCTATAACTGATTCAGCCACTGTTACCAAGAGGTATTTTACTTCCTGAGCATTTCAGCTGAAATTATCTCTTAACTGAGACATGGGACATAGACCCTCTTGGCACAAAAATGTCTGAATATATCCCAGACACTGGAAATGTTTCTCCAGTTCCACTAGTAAACTTTTGTCCAAGCACAGCCCAGGGATTCTTGTAGGGAGCCATAGGATTTCTCCACTGATGAGAAATGGATTGAGCCTTCACTGACATATTTTTGTGTTATGTAGGGCTGATTTGTAGTTCGGGTACAGCGTAGGCACGGGTACAGCAAGGAATGTTGAGCAGATGTGACAGCAAGCGATAACATCCTTAGCATAATCCAGCATCACACGCTTATGGAGTGCTATAAATACACCAGGAATTCTCCAAGGTCCAATTTCTTCGACAGAGTTGGGCACCTCTGCATTGCCATGCATTTAGACTGCACTAAATCAGTAAAATCCTCAGGCTTCGTTCATTTGTGCACTGCTGTGAGTGCTCCTAGGAGACTCTCAGCATCATTGCGCACAGTGGCGTTGATTCTACATTATAACGCAGTTTCTGACAGCTTTTGGATTGATGTTTTGGTTTATGAACTAAACAAAGAATTTATTATTACAGGCATGCCTAATGTTTCTCTTGTACTGCTATACAAACATCATTCCTTTCAGAACTTGGTAACATGCTCTTACAAGGTAGTTAATGGAACAAATCCACAGAGCACACATGGACTGTGGCTTCTTGAAAAATCACTCGAGGAAAGTTTTCTGAGGTTCAGTGGCAATTTAAGGCTCCAGAAGCCAGAGCCCACTCCTGTTCTGACATGGTTGGCATTACTCTTGCCCAAGAGGACAGGCTGAGAGGGCCAAGGCTGAACAAGAGGTTGCCCTGGAACAAGGCAGTGCAATTGCTGTGACACTGTGAACTGTAGCTTTTGGCCTCTTGGCCTCCAGATTTTTTTGTGAACAAGTCACCTTATTGTATAAGTGAAATGCCCCCTATTATTCTACACATGATTGATTAAGAAATGCTTTACTTGCTGAAAAGTCTGTTGAACAATATAGTTTTTCCACTTACAAAGCACTTTCCTTAAAAAGCTTTTCAGGGCAGTATCGTTTAAAAATAGTTATACTAAAGTTGTAAACCAGCTTCTGACAAATCAGGACTAACAAAAGCCAGGGTAAAAATAGAAGTGTTTTTGTGGGTTTTCTCTTCTCCAGAGGCACAGAATCTTGATCACTACTGGGTTGTAACAAACAAAAATGCCCTTTTCCAGAAATACAGGAAAACAAGGATCTTCCAGACTAGTGGCACAAAATATAAATAGGTTTTCAAAACTGCTTCAAAACCATAAAACTTAGTCAAACTGTAACATTTTCACTTTAGAACTAGCTGTGTCATATCAGACAATTTAAAAAATAAAATTCTTTTATTTTATACAAAAGCCATCTCCTGCTTTGGGGAAAGGTTACAGAAGTTCTATTTGTGTAATTATGAAATGAACTGTCCCCAGGCACCCAGGGTTATGAGAATTATCTTGAAGTCTGCAATGTATTACTATTCGTGGAAGAAAAATGCTGAAGAATATAAAATATTACATATTCTGTGTTTACATTTTGTCAGCGAGCAGAATAAATGTACCTCACCGGTAATTTTCAAAATTCATTATTTTTGCAAAGGAGGTTAGGTTTTTTTTTTTTCCTTTTTTTTTTTTTTTTTTTTTTAATTTTAGCAGGTTTTTAAACAGCTAAATGCAAAGCTAATATTTGCTAATCCAGAATTTGGATAATCCTGATTTTTCTCCCTGTTCCTTCTGCTCTGTGCTGACCTTTTCTGTATGTACCAAAGCCAATGTAGTTTAATCCACAATACCAAAGACTGAAGGTCTGTTTCTGTAAGCTGAAAATAGTTCCTAACTGCAGCTAACCTTGCAGCTGAATCAGTTCTGCTGGTGCTCTTTAAGTCATGTTTGACCACTCACATCTGCACAGACCCAAAGCAAGGCTGAACAGCCCTGTCTACATAATCAGACTGATACATGCTGCTGATTTCAGTGTAGTAGCTCCTATATTGAAAACACCACACACAAAAAAATGTTTACTTACCAGCAACTGAAATTATTATACTCTTGGGGTCTGCAGTAGCTGAGCTTTAAAGATACTGACTGCTTCAGTCTATGGATGGGAAGGAAGGATTTCTGTGAAAGTTTACTGGCATCAGATCCTTCTGCATATTCTCTAATGATCCCATAATCTATTCTCTTGCAAAAAAAAAATACTTGGGGGCCTTTTTCCACCGCATGGAAGTCTGTTATTCACCCCATTTTTCAGCTTTGTAGTAATTTATTTCAGCCTCACCAAAAGGGAGATCTACAGCCCTCTCACAGCCTCAGAGCATCACCTACAAGTAGAGAGGCACAGTAAAGTTGAAGGGAGAACCTACATTCCATCTTGCCATCATCCAAACTAAGAATCTGGGTGATGTACGGTTAGTGTTTTGTTTATTGGGTTTTTTTCTCCAGTACCAAACAGTACAGCAATTACTTGGGGCAGGATTTAGTTACCTCCGTTTTAAAAACAAAACAAACAATCACCTTTCAAAAAGACAGTATTCTGCTCCATGCTTCTGGGCAATGGTTTGTGCTGTTAGACACCAGCTATTCTGAGTATTCCTCATTAAAATAATATTTGGCCACTTCCATTACCCCAGTGGTCACTGTATGAGAAATCTGTGATGTAAAAATGACAACTTGTTCCTGCCAGAGCTACAGCATAACAGATTTGCTTGCTGAAATTCTACTTCTGTCTTTAACAGCAGCACCAAAATAGCTATAATAATTAATTATGCACTGATTAGATTAAGAGTCTGAGATGGGCCAGAGATTTTTGTATTATGCATCAGACAAAAGACACTGGCAATGCTTAACTAGCAGTCACCTGCTCCTGCTCCACCTGCCATTGTGGGAGCGCTCTGGAAACCAGAAGAGAGACAAAGGCTCAACAGAAACTGATAAAAAACTTCACCTGCCCCTTGTATGCTCAGGAATACAGAACTGTTGAAACAGGTGCTGCTGCAGCTGCACGCTGGGCTACAGCTTTGCTTTGCAGGCCATGAAAGACGGAGTCCAAACTTCAGGCTAAGCAAGGCTTAAGCAGGGAATTTCCTGACTAGGAACACCGATGCAAACAGCTGCTGTGGAAGGGCTAGGCAAGGAGGGACAAGGCATAGCTGGGCACCCCTATCCTGCACTCACCCCCCTCAGGTTCTCTTGCAATTGCCACACTGCTCTGCCCAGTCAGCTGCTTTTAACATTACCAGCAGATTTCTGTGGAAACAGTTGGGGTTTTTTTGCCAGAATGATATTGTATTCAGCTGTTTTTAGGGTAAGTAGGGGTTTAACACAGAGAACTCTAGAACTCAAAACTGGAAAATTACTTCCTCGTCTTAACTTCCAGTTAGAAATTTTGCTCAGCTATCTTAACTAACTTTTTCAAGGCCCTTTGCTCTTGTCCCATGACTCTTGAGGCCTATTTATTACAACTACAGAGGCAAAACCCCTCAGGGGAGATAGTCCATATACTGGTTCTCAAAAGAAATAAGCTCTTACCAGTGTGTCCAGAGTAATGCTTTTACTGGTATAAAAGTATGATTTAAAAAAGGGGACCTTAGAAACAGTTTTACAGTACTAACAAGAGTTGCTATCAGTCTGACCTTGGAAATCAAGCCAGTTTTAGAGGGGGAGGGGGAAGGGACACTGGAATGAAACGGCAAATCAAGTTTAAGATTTTTCATTTTGCCAGGTGTTTGAGACACTACAGAGTTCTGGTTAAAAAGCACTCAGGAGGAAAACAGTTGTCACCCCCCACTGGTCAGAGCAGAACTAGGGGTGTCTGGGCTAGAGGTCAGAGTATGCTAGGGCACAGCCGGTGCCCATGCAGGGAAGTTGTGGGTATTCCCTGTTCTCTAAGGGCTGGTGCAGCATGGGCAGAGCATCAGGCAGCTCCATGGGAGACATCACCTGAGGACTGGTAGCTCAAGAAGGTCACAGCTGCCAGAGCTCCTGGTGAATGTCACTGTCCTCCACCCTCATAAGCAAACTCAGCATAGGTGGCAAAGCTTGTCCCACAAGTAAGAGTCGGTTTTGTGATACACACAGCATAGCCCTTCCTTAGTGGGACATTTTTAATGAACAACAGCTAAGTTCTGGAGGCATCAAAATGTATCGTTCTGCAACTAGGAATTTACAGACACCACAAGCCACATGGCTCATTTTTTTCCCCTTTTCTCCCTCCCTTCTACCACTGCCCCTTATGAAAAACAGAAGTTAAATGAGAGAAAAATAGGTCTAATGAAACACTCAGGTTGAGAAATCAAAATCAAAACACTCCAACAACAGGAAGTTTCAAAAGCAGTGTTTGTAACAGCTTGTTGCTGAACTGTAGCACACTCGCCTTTCTTTTTCTTTACGTTCAATCCATACCATAGTATGTACCTGGAATCAACAGCTGGGCACAAAGTTAGTATCGTGGCATTAGTTTAAATGACAGAATTTCCTAGGCCTAGAAAGGTGAACTGAACTCAACCCCTGAACAATTTCCTGACTCCTGCAATCAGTGCTGCAACTTCTCTTTCCAGTAAACACATCTGAATTGTTTCCCTGCATAAATATGCTTCAACTTGTTTGTTATTTTATTCTAGGGAGCTGGAGACAGTTTTGTGGGAGCACTGGCCTTCTACCTGGCTTACTATCCTGAGTTACCCATGGAGGAAATGATCAGGAAGTCTAACTGTGTCGCATCAGTGAGTGTCCAGGCATCAGGGACACAATCTTCATATCCTTACAGGAAGGACTTGCCTCAAGACCTTTTCTAATTGACATTGTCTAGCTCAATGTACTGATTTTATCTTACCCCAGGCAGAATTATTCTTCTGACTGTACTGAGGTTCTCCTCTGCTGACTGGAAAGACCAGGGAAGTCTCTTTGCTTTTAATTTAAGGAATCCTCTTAGTTCCTCTTCTACCACAGTAAGATTGGGTGGGGGGGGTCTTTCAAAAACAGCATGGGAAGTCTGTAGGTCTCTCTGACCCCAGACACAGCCACCAGGCTTGTGGCCATCCCACATGATGCACCACACTGAACTACACCAAGTTTACAGCACAACCACTGGAGTGTGTTGGGCTCCTGGAATATTTTTACTTGATGTTATCAGAACAGCTGATGTGTAACGCCCGCACGCAAAGCAGAGCAGTAGCTTTGAGGCTGTAACTCATGCCCTCAGCCGCAAACACCAAGGCCCACATTTGGCTGGTAACAAAGTCCTGTATGTCAGGCCCTGGCCCATCTATTCCCACATGCCTCAGGCAGCTGCACTGCACTTTGGGCTGCGGCCTGACTGCGGAACGTCCCTCAAACTGGGAAGAGGACAAGAGTGCTGTTGAGGTAGAATATCTGAAAGATATTTCTAGCCATATTGCTCTAAACATAGGTTTATTCTAAATGAAGAAGAAAAAGGTCCAACATCAACCAGAGAACTACTCTGGCTGTCTGCTTTCTTCATGCTTCACAGGAATCCAGGAGTGAAAAACCCATCCTGTTTACCTGACTTGCAGCCCTTATCCAAAAGCTCCTCTTTCACCAGTTTCTCATTGCTTCTCTCTTGCCGAGGAAGGAGCTGGTGGAACACTGCCCCTCCAAGGAATGACACCAAGTTGTGGTCACTACTGTTGAATCTGTGGGCTGGTAGGTTAGAAAAACTTGCAATCTTGCCATTGAATTCCTGCTGTGGAAAATGTTAATTTTTATTGCCTTATAAAACAATAGTTCCTTTGAAGATTACAGCCTCTTTCACAATGGAAAACACAGACAATGGGATTTGCTATTTAATTTTTTTTAATGGAGTACTGCAAAAATAACTCAAAAGATAAATAAATGTTACTGTGATGATCTATGTCCAGACATTAAGAATTTTCTCTCTCTACATTGTTTTATTCACAATGGCCTTCAAATCACAGGAGATGGTGATCCCAGTTCATTTCCTCTCTTTTCAGTCCCTGTTGCTGGATTTCTGAATCAGCATTCACCCCATCCTCCCCCCAAACTGTCCTCTCCTCATACATAAATCAAGCCCAGTCATGGTTCAGATAGAGCGGATTTTTCTCTTCTCGGTGAAGAGGACACGTTGTTTTGCTGGAGGGGGGGAAAAAAGATCTGTTAAGAAGCCTGAAGTGTTAAAATGCAATTCAAGGAGCCCACATCCCTTTCTCCTGGCTGCATTTGCTGTTCAAATAAGTGTGGAGCAACTGACTGGCACAGCGCTGCTGTTAACCAACTCTTGGAGGAGTTTAGGACTGCTTTCTCTTTACCACATGTAATTTTTAGTTCCTAAGAGGTCCATTGTACCTCTGTGAAAATAAGTATCAGGATTTGAGTGGCTGAAAACATTCAGCAGCTGCTCTGTGTGACTATTCTGAGTCACAGCTGCTCGATGCAGGGACAAAAATAGGTTCCTCACTGCTTTCTACTACTCTTTAACTTCAGAGCCCAAACAGCTACAGATGATGAGCTAGATCTAGTTGGTCTCCCAGACTGGCTAAGAAGTTGGCCAAGTGTCCTGTGAGTCTCTCAGTGAGGCACAAACTGACCCTGCCTACAACACCCCATGCAAGTGTTAGCAAAGTCAGTTCAGCTACAGGTTAAGAAAAATCAATGCATTACTAAACAAATTTAAAAATAAAACAAAGCAGAGCTTCACAATAGGATTTGAAAGCACTGCTGTTCTGACTGAACTTCATTATACAGATTCCTTTGAAAGCTGTGCAAGCACATTCCACACAACAGAACTCTTCTTCCACATAGAAGTTTCGCTTTAAGAAATACTGCAACTTTGTAACACGTTCTGTTGCAGCAGTTGGGAGGTAGTGAAACTTGGGCACTACTGCCACTACTTCACTAAAATGCTCTCTTCTTTGGAGGTCCCAGGTTTTTGAGAAGTACAAAACATAAGGTGAAAATGCATGCCAAGTGAAAATGCTTCCCAACATATTCCTGATGTGAGTTGGTATCTAGACTCAAATTTACTTCCCTTCACAGATGCAGCACTTTCTCACATCAATTTCTCACTTGTGTTCTACTACAGGCTACAAAGATCAGAGCTTTTTTCTTAATTACTTCCAATTTCGTACTTCAGCAACCTACTACATGTTCTGCAACGTAAGTGCTACTTAACCTAAGCTCTCCACTCTTTTCACATTTCCTACAAGTCGTGAAGCTTCTGGAGCATCACTTTGCGCAATGTTTCAATGCAGTAATTTCACATTTTGTTGTTTGAAGAAAATAATCCCAGTGATCTCTGATTCCCTTTCTGTATGGAACACAGAAGGTGAGCCACAACCTCTGTCAGCGTGAGAGCCTGGATGAGAGCATACTGTTTCTCTGCTAGTTTCTTCACCTGCCATAAAGCTCCTGTACTGTTAGATCTGAGTAGGAAAAGGTTAATCATCTAACAAGAGCATAAAATTATAACAAAAAACAAGCTTGACCACATAACTTCTTGCTATGCATTGTTACCTACTTAGAGTGGCTTATTTAAGACATTTCTTTATACTATATATTAAATACCCCTTTTTTGCATTAACTCCCATGCTATTCTTAGCATGGCCTCATTTAAATTCTAAGTTTCTCCAATTTAAGCTTTTTAATGTTAACTACAGACTGGTTCTTCCCCCAGAAACTTGAGCTTAGTCACCTTTCAAAAAGTTTGGTGAACAGAAGGCATCTTGGAAAGTGCTCTAACCCCCCCAACAAATCAGATTCTTTAACTGAGAAAATTTGCCAGGACCACAGGAACATAAAAGAACCCACAAACTGTCGTCTGGAGAGTGGTATCATTTCTGAAGGAGAAAGAACTTGTGTTTATTTCTTTAAAAGAAAGGGTCCATTTTGTAAGTGATGGTTAAAATGTATTGTCTAGAGCATCCATGGCAGCTTAACAGAACATTTCTATTGATGCATACTTCGTGGCTGCTTGCTGGAGGTAGCATAGTCTAGCAAACCACACAAAGAAACAGAATGAAAGAACTCCTGTGTCACTTTGCTTTGCCACTGACATGTGGCAGGGCTGTCATCAAAGAATGATGTGTTGGGCAAGTCATTACTTTGTTTCAGTGCCACAATCAGTAAAATAAGGGTAACATTTACTTCCCACTGGAATGTTATGAAGAAAAGCAACTGTACACTCATGTGAGTATGAAACATGTTATGATGTACTCTGCTTAGATGGGAAAAATCCTGTTATATGAAAAACTTTTGCCCCCCACAGTCAGAGAAGCTTAACCAACACTGACTGACATCTTCCCCAAGCTCCTCTTACCAATGGGATCGTATCTCAGCAGGACCAGTTTCTCCTGCAGTCGGAGCCTCCTGATGTTGAAACAGTAGCCCGTCTCAGCCGCACTTTTCATCCTCACCAGAATGTATCTAAAGTCACAAGGAATGTCCCCGAGTCAGTGCACAGGGGCGCTGTCAAATAACTGGACAAGCATTCACCATAAACAGTTTGGCACAATCACTGTCATGCAAGATACTTCAACTTCATGGATGTTCTGGATGGGAGCTTCAATACCATATGCTACACTTATAATACAAAGAGCCTACTATAAGCCACAAATTCCAGCATCAACTTTCAGTGAGTAACTACTAAACAGAATACAAGCCCAGAGAGAGGTAGCTCCTCCAAAAAACAGCAAGGGAGGAGGAAGAAAAACAGGAAAGAAAGGAGAAAAAAATAATAATTAAAAAATCAACATATAATTGAGTCACTATGGCTTAAAAAACAAACAAAAAAAAAAAAGGCAAGAAAGGAAGAATGATGGTAGTTAAAGATGTTAGGGCTGTAGATAACACTGTATCATAGACCACTGCTTCGACATGCAGCGGGGAACCAGAGCACATTGGATGGAACAGGACACATGCAAAACAAGAAGCAGGGCCCCTTGGCACCATCCATCCAGCTAGAGATACAGGGCTTGATGTTAACCTGGCCACAGGAACCCCCTTCCTCACTGCAGGGCTCTCAGTTTGAGGGGCCGACGGGCAGCATCTGCAGTGTCCCTGGAAGCTGGGTGAGTCAGAAGACAGAGAAAGGCACCACCGTGCCCCTACCCTGGAATTATTCCAACATCTGCAAAACTTCCCAGGAACAGGGCATCTTCTGAAGATTCCAAAGAAAGGTCAAACACTTTAACAGTCTGTAAATGACATCTTTCACTTGCACTGCCACTGAGAGATGGATACATCTCTGCATGTGGGCATTCAATTAATTTGCCTTCATTTTCCTGCTTCTAATACAAAGTGGTCAAATTTACCTTTGAGAGACACTCACTCTTCCTCACTTGTGCAGCTCTGACCAGTTTGCTTCCTTGAGCTCTCCCTTTTCAGCTTTGCAACCCAATTTACTCTGAGTTCAAAACAAACAAAGACACTGGATTCCTTCAGTCCAGCTGGCAAAGCACAGTCTAGGAATTGTCCCCCATTACCATCCTCCTCTCTTGTACACTACTGCAGGTGTGATGGGCAGCACCAGTAACCACACAGACTCCTTCCCCTCTACCTCACCCACTTCCTCAAAGCCTCTGTGCAGTTTCCCCTTTCTGGGGGAATCAGTGGTATCAGTATGACCAGGCCTTGAAATTCTTGTGCACCACATATTTGAGGGCAAGCCCTTTCTGAACAAGACTCCTTGTTCAAAAAACTTGCTGGCCAATGAAGAAGTGTAACTAGGAGAAGAGGCAGAAAAGTGGAAAAATAATGGGACATGGGGAGAAAACCAGAGGGGAGCACAAGTATAAATAATATAAGGAGATAACATATTTCTGATATATATATAAGGGACTATACAAAGAAAGGAACATCAGAGAAAAAAATGAGTTAAAAAAAAATCACTACATTTAAAAATGGTGTTTCTAATGTTAAAACTACTTTTTCACTTTGCAGAAGAATCCTGTTTTACTGTGTTTGTTTCTGCAAACAGGTAACAGTAGAATGCTGAGATGTCAAACTGCTCTCTTCCCTCTCAGGCAGATAGTTGGGAAGTGCTTTCTTAATTTCAAACTGACAATTGTGCAGAAATCCTGTAACAGAAGAATCTCTTCAAACCCAGAAGGTGGTTGGTACTGGCTCTGTTAGAGGCAGTTTCTTATAACAGATAAATCACAAAGTGTTCCAAAGGCCATTAGCCCAGGGTTGCACTGTACCAAATGTAACACACTTGCAGAGAATGCAACTTCTGGGAATCAGAGGGCAGGAATGTATATTCACATAAATCAGTTCAGCCCCTTATATTTGTCTTGCTAATTTTCTTACAAATAACATTTTGGATGCAAGATCCACAAGATCCTGTCTCCTTGCATCCAAACTGTAATGATGTGCTGAAAGTAATTTTTCCTTCTTTTCCAACTGCTAAAACCCACCAGCTTTCTCTGAAGGTCAAAGGACTGTGACTAATATTCTTCCAGAGCCCACTAACATCTCTCCTGAGCTGAACTACAGAGCACATCAAGATACCCAGAGCACTGACTCCACCCTGTCCACTCCTCATGTATCAACATACAAATGTGCTAGAACTGGAACAGCCCACCTGTGAGAAAGGTTCACAGCCACCTGCCCAAAGTCCCTCCCACAAAGAAAGACTCATGCTGTACCTTGGCTTGCTCTCCTCAGCTAAAAAAATATGAAAATTAAACAGGAGGAAGATTATGAAGAGAACACAATAGCTTCTCTTGAACCATAAAGCATGGAGGCATGCTTCCCCTGCACAGGGCACTTTGGATAGTACAGCTCAGCTCAACATGACAGCCCCTAGAACAAAACCTGCCTTCGCTGCAATTTTAGAACCTGGGGGCTTTTTCACACCATTCTGTACTTACCTGTGAAAAGACACACATGCAGAAGGACTCAGAGGATGCAACTAGACTCAAAGACTGCAATTCCCTCAGATATATTAAAAAACTCTAGAGAAGCCTAGTATGTTGTAAAGTCACTTGAAGATACAAGGTGGTAGCAGAAATAGACAACTGATGAGGAAAACATCACTTACTTAGATTTGCTCTTGGCCACTGTTTTGGTTTTTTTTTTGCAGCATGAAGAGAAAAAAAAAAAAAAAAAAAAATTATCATTTTTTTTTTTTTTCCTT